TCTTTCTTGTTCACTGCACTGAAATAGAAAACAGATCAAGTGATCTCTAAAAGATGACAGGGTGATCTGGATGTTTCATGGGATTAAATTTTTATGGTCAGTCAGGCATTTCGTCTAGTAAAAGCCCCATCTGGAGGCAGTCAGAGGTCTCTTCTGCTAATTAAAGGAGGTCGGATGGCCTGACAATTAAGGGGATCCACAGCTGGCTTGAAAGTCTTCCTCAAGGAGTGCCCGTTGATGGTTCCTCATCAGGTGGAAGGTATCAGGTGGAGTGCCAGAAGAATCAGCCCTGCATCCTCTATTCTTCAATATTCCATTTAATGGCTTGAAAGAATAGGTAGAACGTTATCACATTTGCAGAGAATCTGGAACTAATATCTTCGAAGAAAAAAGTAAAATTCAGAATGGACTGAGCGCCACAGAATGAAATGGAAGAGAGACTTGAAACAAAACAGTGCCAGGAAGGATTGGAAATTTCCAATGAGATACTAAAGGCAGAATCCCATCTGTCTGAATGCTTGAATGGATCCTGCACTAAGCAGGTGGTTAGACTAGTTGACCTCTGAGGTTCCTTCCAATGTATGATTCTAAGTACAATGTTCTTCACTTGGGAAACAAAAATCAAAGGTCCGGGTATTGGGTGGGGGATGCTTGGCTTGCTAAAAAGATGTTGTAATAGGGATTGATCGGAGACTGAATATGAGCCAGAAGCATGAAATACCTTCAAAGAAGCCATGTGCAGTTTTAGGCTACATCAAATCAATGATAACTTCCAAATTCTGACGGTAATTTTCTCACTGTGTACTGCTATGATCAGAGCGTGTTCTGGGAAAGACCCATTGATGCAGATTCAGAGCAATTGGAAAAGGTTCCCAGCAAAGCAACAAGGCTGATTGGGCACTAGAAACCGAATCCTCTGTAGATGAAGAGAAGGAGCTTGGCATGTTTAGTCTTGAGAAAAGGGGTGGTGGTCTGTGATAGCATTTTTCAAATAAGCGGAAGGCTGTCACAGAGATGGAGGACAAGATCTGTTGTCTCTCATTCCTGAATGCAGGGCATGGATTTAAATTACAGAAAGGCCTTCCCTGGGTCCTCCCCCTAACCCCGGGGTGTGCCTGAGGCAAGAGGATTTCGGCTGGCAGTCGAAAGCTCCAAACGCAAAGGTGGAAACAGTTTCTGTCCTGCCACTCCCTGGCCAGGTGACAGAGCGTAGAAGTGAGGATTCACTCCTTTCTTCTGCTCTGGGGGACAGACCAATCTTACAAGAGAGGAACAAAATGAAACTGTATCCTTAAAAACAAAAATACGTGATATAAACCCTTTTACTTTAAACAATAAAATGCAATTATTGACGCTTAAGAAAAAAGGGACAGAGCTGCCCAGTTCCACCAAGAGTCGTGACATCCATATTGGGGCAGCATATAAAAAAAGAGAACACAAATGTTTTTATGGTTTCAGTAATTTTGTTTATATTATTCTGTTATTGATGCTTTTATTTCTGTAAAGTGCTGAGCGTCAAAAGATTGAAAACTGCTGCTTTTGAGCCGAACAGCTAAAGATGCACGTCAGCTGCCTTCGGCTGGGCTGGTGTGAAATGATGGCAGCGTCATGAGGACATGTCCTCTAACCATGGTTGGCAAGGCGTCTTCATGCCACAGTTAGAGGGACATGAGGATGAGCCCTTAGACTTTTTAATTTGGGGAATTTCCAGTCTTTTGACTCCGTTAGGTCTCTCCCCTACTTGGAAAGATTGTTTGGGGTTCTCCTTCAATTATCTGCTCTTTCTCCCAATTCAGTTCCAGAATCCAACCCGGGGCACATCATTGGCTGCCTTCTGGCTGCTGTTGTCCTGGTGATTGCTGTGATTGTTGGGATCTTGATGTATCGCAGTAAGTATCCTGTAACCACCTTTGCTGGGTGGTTGTGGAGGAAGGTGAGGAGATTCCTCCCAAGTCTCTCCCTTTGGGAGCTCCTTCTGGACTGGCTTCTTCCCGGTTTTCCCAGCCCTCTTTGGGAGCATCTGAAATGTCGGCCTCTTGCTGGGACTCGTCTTGACTCAGTGGAGTCTGCGGTCCGGACAGTCCCGTCTTCTTCTTAGCTGGGAGGAGGCATCGCGGTTCGGTCCCTTCCAAAGCTTTGGTCAAAGACCAGCAGAGGAGGATTTCTATGAAAATGTTCCTCCTCTCAGAGCTGCTGCTGCTTTCCCCATTTCCCTCCATCCATCTCAGAGGCAGAAAGTCTCTCTTGGAGCAAATCTGGTGGTCTCTTTGCACTCTGAAGACCTTCCTGTGTCTCTTAAATAGTAGCTTCCAGGACAGGTTGTGACTAAACAACTGTGAAAACATCTCCTGGGGCTCTTCCTCATACAGGGGGAGAGATTGGATGATCTCTGATCTTTTTAGCTTTGACTGATTTTTGTCCTTGCAGAGAAATGTCAAGAAGGCTAGGAGGAAACATCAAGTGAGTGATTTGTCCTCTTTACAGGTTAGCTCCAATTCAGAGCAGGGATCAGAGGTAGCATCAGTTGACGGGTGTTTGTGTGTGTTTGTGGGTGTCCAAACACAAAAGCAGCTCATGAACTGTGGAGTACTTGGGGTTCTCTGAGCTTGGTTCTTTTCTTGCAAAGGTTTCATTACACGGCTAGGTAACATCTTCAGTGCTAAAATGGGATGAAGTTTGCTCTCTAT